GCATCGGACCGCGTCAAATGCACGGAAAAACGAGAGCGAACCCGATCAAGCCGGCTTGGGTCGGCATCGAGTCCGACCGATCGTATCTAAATGGACCCTGTGAACAGTGGCTGATACGCGAATGAATCATCCGAGTGGCTTTCGGGCCACAGCGTGGGCCTCCAGCGGCCCTTCGGAACGACTCGGGCGCCCCTGGAACGCTCTTGGCGAAGCGCAGCACCTGGAAAGCATCCCCGGGCGAAACAAAAAAAAAAAAAAAAAAAAAACTTCCGGCCAAAAACCGAAATCAGGAAAGCGCTGACATGGATCAGGGATCAGTGGATCTGGCAGGAGCGCGCCAGATCCATGGATCGGGAAGGCACCCCCCGCAGCATGAGGCCACTGCCGCCTGACTCGGCGACAAAGCGCGCAGCTTCTGCACGGGCAGGGAACCCGGTACTAATCCACGGTGCCTTCATCAACACCAGTTTTCCGACTTCGCCACGAATCTGCGCAATCGGCTGCAGCTCACAAAGAGGAGGAGGACGAGGAGGACGAGGAGCAACAGGGGGAGGAGGAGGAGGAGAAGGAGGAGGAGGAGGAGGAGGAGGAGGACGACGAGGACGATCGGGGTAGAGGAGGAGGAGGAAGAGGAGGAGGAGGAGGAGGAGGAAGAGGAGGAGGACGAGGAGGAGGCGCCGCCCAAGGTGGGCGCCCCGTCCTCGCCGACGGCCAGACGCGCGCGGCGGGGGGGGGCGGCTTGCCGAGCCCGGGCGCGCTGCTGCTGACGAAGCGGGGGGCGGCGGCAGCACCTCCGCCAGCCGCGGGAGGCGACAACGTCGACGGCGGCAGGGACCGGCGAGCCGTCGTCGTCGACGCTGCCGTCGACGTCGGAGTCACCCGTCGTCGGCCGCCCGAGATCGCCCTGCCCCTCCCTCCTGTCGCATCCTCCTCCGTCCTCGTCCTCCTCCTCCTCCTCCTCCTCCTCCCCTCCTCCTCCTCCTCCTCTCCCTCCTCCCCTCCTCCATCGTCCTCCTCCTCCTCCTCCTCCTCCTCCTCCTCCTCCTCCTCCTCCTCCTCCCTCCTCCTCCTTCCTCCTCCTACTCCTCCTCCTCCTCCTCCTCCTCCTCCTCCATCCTCCGTCCTCCTCCGGCTGCTCTGGCCCAGGCGATCTGCTAGGCTTGCCAGGTGCCTGATCGGCATCGGCAAGATCCCGCGACATCTTTGTCATGGTCCCCGTGCCTTCCCTCGAGCTCGCACTGTGCCGCCTGCCTTGGGGCCCCGCGTTGCAAGGGGACGCTTCGCGCCGTGAGAAGGCTCGTTCGCAAATGCTTGCGAAGAGGGGGTTTGGGACGGGAGGGCGTATTGCAGGATGATGAATGCATTTTGGGTTTACTCTGCATCTTCCTCTTCCTCCTCCTCCTCCTCCTCCTCCTCCTCCTCTCCTCTTCCTCCTCATCCTCCTCCTCCTCCCCTCCTCCTCCTCCTCCTCCTCCTCCTCCTCCTCCTCCTCCTCCTCTCCTCCTCCTCTTCCTCCTCCTCCTCCTCCTCCTCCTCCTCCTCCTCCTCCTCCTCCTCCCCCTTGTTACTCCTCCTCCTCCTCCTCGTCCTCCTCTGTTTGAGCAACAGCCGATTGCGCAGCATCGTGGCGAAGTCGGAGAACTGGTGCGGCCGAATACGTCCTCCTCATCCTCCTCCTCCTCCTCATCCGCCACATCACCGTCACCACCAACACGATCCTCAGCATCAACAGCAGCAGCAGATGCATCAGAATCACCATCCGCAGCCTCACCATTACCATCACGATCACCAGCACCATCATCACCATCATCATCATCATCATCATCATCATCATCATCATCATCAACATCATCATTATCATCATCATCATCATCATCATCATCATCATCATCATCATCATCATCATCAGCATCACCATCATCACCATCACCAATACCAAGACCACCACCACCAATGCCACCATCATCATCATCATTTCGTAATCATCATCACCATCATCATCATATTCGTCATCATCATCATCATCATCATCATCATCATCATCATCATCATCATAGTAAGCATCATCACCATTAGCATCATCACCATCATCCCCATCCTCATCCTCCTCATCATCATCACCATCATCATCATTATCACATCATCATCATCATCATCATCATCATTGTCCTCATCAGGATCATCCGCATCAGCATCATCATCATCATCATCGCCAGTATCATCGCCAGCATCAGCATCATAAACGTCGTCATCATCATCGTCAGCATCATCGCCATCATAATCATCAGCATCATCATCAACAACATCGTCATCATCATCAGTATCATCAGCATCAGCATCGTCACCATTATCGTCTTCGTCAGCATCGCTATGCTCAGCATCATCAACATCATCGTCCTTATCAGCAACATCATCATCATCACCATCATCACCATCATCATGATCAGAATCAGAAGCTTCAGCATCATCAACATCAGTATCATCGTCTCCACCACCATCA